ACGGCAGAGTATCAATATTCTTGCAGCGCAGTTGCAGGCTGCAAGGAAGACAGTTGAGGGGGGGCAGGGAAACGTTTCACTTCTTGTGCGATAGCGGCTTTAGGGTGGGGATGCTCGAAGTAAATATATATGTATATATATATATTTTGTTTTTTCATTTATATTTTTCTAATTTTTTATGAGCCTTGGAAAACTACAGCATCATACACCCCAAAGCTGTATTACCCATTTTGTTTTTCGCCTGCAGCCTCTCACTGGCCTAGTCCTTCTTGGATGTCCAGGGTGGTTATGGATATAGGGGATTAGGGCTTTGGCTGTTACCCTTTTTGGGTCGCCCCTTTGATGTAAGTTATTCAAGAAGGGACCCTGATTTTGACAGCCCTCCGTTGTACTTGTAGCCTTACATCAAAAAGGCAGCCATGCCTTCGTAACACTTCTAGCTGAGGTATGAAGCAGTTACTGCATAGCTTGAAATGACCTTGATGTTCAAAGTATAGTGTGCATATGATCCAAGGTCCGAACTCCTCGTATCCCCTTTAATACACCCCCATAATGCTCGCTGATATGCTCCCCTATAGGACCACCTTCAAAGGAGTTTGGACTCCAGACTTTAGCAACCCTAAACCCTAAACCGATTTTTATGTATTGTTCTTGAATCTGCAAGAGGTTTAGGTTTTGCCGCTTACTTGGAAGTCAGGGCGACTTGGTAAGTATACTTATAATCCATGTAAGCCAAACAATCACACCATGAATCCCCATTCTTAACCTACTTACTAAGGGACCGTCAAAGTAGGTTTGGGAAAGACGAAGTAGGATTGGGGTTTTCGGAGAGATGCAAAGTCGTTGGCCGCTGATGATGTGAGTTCGTTTGGGATTGCTCCCTTTCTGTTGTCTTTGTGTGAATACTAGTCCTACTTCAGGGTCTCTCAACAGGGGTCTCTTGAACCCTAAACCTTAGACCCTGGGGATCAAGCGAGTATATTGCGACCGAACTTGCAAAAATGTGCATCTCGCTCTTACTCTGAAACCTCAACTCCAGACTAAACAGTAGTCTCCATTTTCTTTTCCACTATCCCAATAGAACCCATATATAACCCCTATAATCTAAACCCCAAACCCTATATACCCGCTATAACCGTAACCCTAAGCCCTTCACTCCAAACCCTAAACGTAAAAACCAAGGTGAGTAGTATTTTATTTGGCGATACTATGGTACTCAATATAGAGTAAGATTCAATCCTC